TTAAAAAAATAGCAGTATGACAAGAGTTTTTTCCCCCAATTTGAAGTAACATATCGTCAATGCAAACATAAACCATTTCATTTCACTATTTTGAGCATATTGTGTTTAAGTTCACAAATTTTCCAGCGAGACAATGATAGTAGAATTCATTAACTATGTGCTCATCACAAATTTGTTGTCAGCAAAAATAAATAGCCACGCTTTCTCTCCTCGCTACTGACTGCCATTTATCATAGATACATTGTTTTTCAATAGATTGACGATTCAAATCAATAGTTACAACCTTATACAAAAATATATTTGGCTATTTAGAGCACTAACGAATTCCAACTTAAGGTCCGGTTAAACTTAAAATACACCACGAATATTTACTTTTGAGATATTATTTTTGGTATGTGTTGGTTCTTGGATATCTAAGCTCCATCGTCCTGTACTTCATTTAGTAATTCGAACTTCCCAGAAGATTTTCACGATTTTGACATCGAAAATGCCTTTGCTTTATTATTTGCTGAGGGAGGGCCGCTTAGGTATGTGCTCTGTAACTTACAGCACATGGACCTAAAAACGTTATGTAATCAAACAAAAATGACGTTGTACTAAAGTCCAAAAAGTACATTCAAGGTCTTCATTTTTTTCGTAGTATAAAAACGATTTAGTCCCTCGCTTATTGTGACACCCTCAAATCAACTGATTTCCATTCCCCTCAAGAGTCAAAATGGTATGTGCCTCCATTTTACGCTACGACTGGAAAAAGTCTTTTTTGTCTGAATCAGTTAGGCCCTGAAAATAGCGTCATCGCACAGTATTCCATTAATGAACGAAGTTCACATAACAATCTTATGCCTACAAATCATTCCATAATTATTGACAAGTTGTTACTAGCTCATACTAAAACAAGCCGGTAGGCTGGCTGGCGATCAGCTCCGCTAAAAAAAAGCAATATGTTTTCGGCTGTTGCCACGGTAGGCACCGGGCACTGTATACGAAGTTCGCCAAAAAACACTCAGTCTTTAGAAGTCACTTTATTTTATTGCTAGGACGTATTCTGCTGTTAAATTTGTTATTTCCAACAGTTTTGCAATGGTATTTTCTAGATTGAAGGCAGCATTAACAGTTCATTCAAAGTTCAAAGTTGTGTTGGGATTACGTTGATACAGAGTAACAATGTCGGCGCCGGTGATCTCTTACCGGTGTGCAGGCAACGTAGCCAAAATAAAAAGCATGACCATTTAAACACTGCTATTACAAGACTGGTAATAGGTAATAAATTTGGGGCGAAAGTATTCCAATTAGTGGCGGTACAAGTATGAACAAGTCATTGTCAATGACACGTCCCCGTTCCGTTCATATTTGAGTGACATATACATTCAAAGCAGATCATGACCGAAATGCACCTGCATATGTACAACACATTGTACTAAATCTGAACAAAATCCATGCATGCATGACTGAGATCCGGTTCTGGAATTGTGAAAATACGTGATTTTAATGCATTTTCGGCCTTAAAATGGCCATCATTCAGCTATTGCTAAGCGGATCATGAAACAAATGCACATATCTATTTGTGACATGATGCTCCATGTGTGTGTGAAGTTTGAACTTGATCAATCCAGACATGTCTTGGATACGGATCCAGAACTGAATTCTTTAAG